GTTATTATTATACTCAGAGTATTATTATTATCATCATCATTATCATTATTATTATTATTAAATATCGTCATTAAAATTGATATTTGGCTAGTCTTGAACCAGATTATCAATTGGGATTATTAAAATATTTTCATTCTTTCGCTGCGTTTCCTCAATTGAGACAAAATCAATTTCATTTGTATTAACAACTCACCAATGATTGGTTATAAACAAACATGGAAACAAATTCTTGAACATTTTTCAAAAAGAGTAAAGTGAAAAAGGTTTTCGAGTTAAGAGTTGGCACTTTGTTTTATTATGTTTATTTGTTGCGTTATATAAGATTTGGAAAAATATTCACGTTTCATGAACATAGAGTAACATGTGATTGAAACATGGAAGTTAATCTTCGAAATTTAATCGATTTATTCGAATTAATAGATTCTAATCATTAATATAAAAAAATTTCATATTTTTTAATGCAATATGTTTTAATTTAATAAATTCTGGTGGCATTGAGTTAAAACAAAATGATTGTAAATTGAAATACATTGTGTTAATATTCAAAGTGATTTATTTCGAGCCAGTTGCTCAATGAGCGAGATAACTTTATCTCGTGAATCAGATTTTTTCAGTTCTTCACTGACTCGAGCAACATTTGAATGAATCTCTTTGTTGTTGAGCACATCTTCAATGGCTTTTAATAGCTTTTCACCACTGAATTCATGCAAGTTTAACCTCACACCTAAACCAAGATCAGCTATTCGTTGTGCATTATCTAGTTGGTCACCGAATTGAGGAATGACTATTAATGGTTTACCAACAGCTAGTCCTTCAATCAAAGAATTGGTTCCTCCATGAGTTATGAATAAATCCACTTTGGGTAAAAGAGCAAGTTGATTGATAAATTTCTCTCCCCACATGTTATCATGGAGCTTGATTGAATCACCATTACGTCCTGTTGAGACGATAAAACGATGGGGTAAGTTGGCCAATGGGTTTAATAACCTGTGGGGAAAAAGTTTGGGAATTTTTGGTTTTTTTCTCATATCTCGTAAGATAATGGCTGAATTTTTTTGAAAATTCAACATGTTATAGTTGGATAGTGTAGCTTTGATATCTGAGAAATCCAGAATAAAGAAAACAAAGGTCACTCCACAACCATCGCTCAAACTCGGAAGAGAAAAAAGTGTTTGAAAAATTTGTTTTTATACATGTTAAACTCTCATAGACAGAAACCAATTTTTGAGACTAATTTATATTTTGGTTATTTGGTTGAAGTACCTATTATTCAAAATTGAATATCTTTCCAACGCCTCATCCCGAATTCTTTAGATCGAATTGAGCCAATTATTTTACGAGATATGAGAAAAAAACCCAAAAATTCCCCAAACTTTTTCCCCACAGGTTATCATGGTCATTAGTTCAGTTACAGATGAAGCCAGTGATCCCATTGAGACATAGATGAGCTTTCCTGGTTTATCTTTCAGTTTCTTTGGTATTTCAAAGTTCGGTGTTTCTGGTGCTCGAATGGATGAGTCAAGACAAACCCAGTTTTCTTTCGGTGAACCCAATTCATGGTAATCCAATGGACCAGGGAAAATGTAAATTCCTAGCTGCTTTGCATGCAGCTGTGGTTTATATTCAGCGTCAAACAATTGGAACAATTCCTTTGCTTTCACTATATCATTTTTTTCGGCCTCTTCCTTTAACTTTTGGTATTCAGACCAAAGTTTAGGTGGATCATGCACCGAATATCCAGAGCCTGCTGGCGGACCACTATACAGATCAAGTGGCGATGAAGATTTAATAGGAATCACTGGACATGAAGCTTTGACCATCCAAGGCATGGACAAAATATAATCAGCTAAACAGACATCAGGCTTTATCTTCTCAATGATGTTCAACATTGCACAGTTCTCACCTTTAGCAGATTCAAATAAGAAAGCAGACGTCTCATTATCACCGGACCCAGGTTTCACAGACTCCTTCAAAATTTCCAAACTTGAAAGTCTACGAGTCTTCTCAAATTGTTGTGCAAATACTTCAGTAAGATTGGATGGCATTCCAGTCATCATGGGATAATTTTTATCATTGTATTCACACAATGAGATGTAATGAAATCCATTCTTTTCAATAGTTTCCTTGTATTCATCAAAATAGGCATAGTAAACTTGGTGACCGCGTTTACGAAGAAGTGAACCAATTCCAATGCATGCATGCAAATGGCCAATGCTGGAAAAATAGAGGAAAAATTTAATAGACGAATAAACTAATCAAAAACTTAGCATAGACTTACCCAATCATTGAAGTTATCAAAACTTTTAAGGAACTTTTTTCTTCCATTTTCGTTTGATTTCATCCAAATACAACTGAATCAAACGAAAAATCAGGTTTATATAGCCATATGCCTGAAAACTAGGTGCTCAAAGATTAAGCATAAAAATTACTAATCCTATCGCAGTGATAATTTGGATTAGATAAATTTCATGGTTTTTAGGTGCAAGCTTGCAAAATGGAGTAAACAGTGTTGTACAATGTTACAGAAACAGTCCAAAGTCGCAAGAGGAGGCTTTATTTGAATAACTCATTATTAGCCGAAAAAATAAAAGATATGAAATTATAAGATAAAAATATAAATTAATGAAAAACAATGATAAAAACTAGGTAAAGGTTGCGTTTAATAAGGTGCAATAATCAGTTACCCAAATGAAGATAAGAAGATGATTAAAGGTATTTTGCTTTATCATTACGAAATAAGTAAATATTCTTCATCAAGAGTTGTTCTGGATTGAATTCTCAAGCATCAAAAGTTCTCATTCTGCCCAATGACCCAACGTTTTCATCGTTAATGACCGGGATAGAAGATTATGGTCAGTTCCGGGGTTGGGAGTTTTGCATAACTTCATCAGATGCATTGATATCAATTTTTGATGCTTTTCACGAGCTGAGCTTTTCAAAGTCAGTTTGTATTGAAATTATTTTCTGCAAAACTCAGTGTTGAATCAATATTTACCTTTTCTATTCAATTGTAAAACTTGACGCAAGTAACTATTTGAAAATTCACTAATTAACCCTTTCAGTTTTGACAACATTAAACTCAACACCAACCTAAAAATGTCTTATGTTTCCCTTGAAGACTTTTCTTGTTTCTTTCTGTTAACTGAAAATTATTCACAAAATGCAAACAAGATATTTACTCACACATATACAAATACATGTACATAAACAATTACACTGAATCATAATAAATCATTGTCAGTCTTACATGATAATTATTATCATCCTCATTGACTAATTACCCATTTTAAGATTTCCATCTACTCGTCAGTAAAAGAAGAAGAAAAAAAGACTGAATAAGAGAAATGAAGAAGAAAAAAGAACAAGAAAAAAAGGTAAAACATGTCCACTCCTTATCCATCAGCTGAGTGTTACTTTGGTGGTTGCCTCAGGCCTTATTAACTATTCATTTCTATGAACATCTACTAGAATGCTGATGATCAAGATAAGACAAGAAAAGACTTTGACTTGTGAATGTTAAATAAGGTGTAAAAGGAAGCTGAAACCTCCCAAGAAGTTAACATGATTGTCAAAATTGAAAGCTCAAAATCAATTCAAGATTCAAAAAAAGAACAAAATTTTTATCGAAAAATTTCCTTCAACAGACTTCGAGTTGACCAAAAAATCAACTCACAGCTTTGGCCAACCATAAGCAAGACTCAACCTGACTCGATGCCTCATTAGGTTGACAAACAACATCAACGACTGCGTCTCTTCTGCAACCTTTGAAACTAATTTCAACATTTGTCATTTCTTGTGAATCTATTTTTTCTTGTTTCATTTTTGGCGTGAAAGAAAAGCAAAAAAAAACCTCTTTTCCCGTGCAAACTCATGTTCATCATGTAATTGAACCTATTATAATAGCAATCATAATTATCATTATTACAATTGCAATGGTAACGCTTGTCTGCTCATGGTTACTGGTAGGAACATAAAAAACAAAACAAAAGGTGCTTTTGGCTTTTGTTGACTTCATTTTACTTCAGCAAAAAAAATGGATTCATCTTTTTTCCTGAAAATCAAATTTGAATTTTCGTCTAATCAGAGTTTCAATGTTCATATTGAAATGGTTTGATGGCAAACTGTTGGTAAATATTTGTCCAGGTTTAAACTATAATTAGGTTAACCAAAAGCTGAAAGTATCAACAGTAAAAAGTAAGTTATGAACCAAAAAAAAGAAGAGGAACCAAAATTTAAAAAGGTAACCATGATGATGGAAAGGAGGAGTTTGATGATGAAACAAGTCTTGGTTTTACCTTTGATGATCAGTGC